AAATTCAAGAAGAAATGGAAAAGAAACTCAAGAAAAGGGACTTAATTGAAGAAATCAAAAGTTGGAGGGTAAAATGCATTGAAGTTAAAACCCATGATTACCCAAAACCCAAAGCCCACCATTAACCAAGACCCAAACCCAACCAAAACCCACTAAATTATCCAAACCCAAACCCAAAACCCGTCTAGCCCAAACCCAAAAAAAAAAACAAAGAAGGGGTCTGGAACCTTCTCTTTCCCCGTCAATTTGTTTTTTTTTCCCGAACCAGCTCAAGCCCTGCCCCCAGATCCCGGCCTTTCCTCCACCGCGCCCAGCCTTGCACTCCCACGCTTGCTCAGCACCCCTAGCTCCTACGCCCCTAGCTCATGCGCCCAGCTCTGCACCGAGCCCTGCATCCCTGGCCTCTGCGCGCCTGCACTCTGCGCCTCACTGCCGGCCTTGCTTCCTGCACCTGCTCTGCACCGAATCTGCATCAATCTCCAGCTCTGCACTGCGCCAGCCTTCCTCTGCACCGCGCCAGCCTTCCTCTGCACCAGATCCCCTTGCCGCCTGCTGCGCCGAACCCACGTTGCTTGCACGCCTGCACTCTGTGCCAGCATCATGACCCTGCATCGAGCCTTGCTGCACCCCTGCTGCTCTGCCTCTGCACACTACAGCAGCTCCAGACAAATTAGCATTATTATTGATTGACAGAGCAAGGCTTTTTTATTATTTTGATCTTTATTTTATCTTTTATTAGGGTATATATATAGAGAAAAATCAGATTGAAAGGGGGGGTTTTGGGTTGATTTTGGGTCTCTTTGCTGGGGAGTTTCGTCTGAGTTTTTGAGAGCAATAGAAGGGGATTTACTGGAGAAGAAAGGGGGCAACAACGGTGGTTGAGAGGAAGGATCACCGAGCTTCCAGAGGAACTTCATTTTCTGGTTTCATTTTCTGGGTTTCATTGCCTTAGGTAATTTCTGAACAGAGGAATTTTTGGGAAGAGCCGTGAGGGAGAAGAAGGGAGCTTGATCCCGTGGGTGGGATCCCTCCCTTCGGATCTCAATCTGCTTTTTTTTTCTCAGAAATTTCACCTTGTTTGATTCTGATTCTCATAGAGTTTTGCTTTATTAAAACTGTACTAGATGATGGTACTGCAAATGAAATCAAGCATGTTTGTTGAATTTCATGGATCCGAATTGGAATGGATGTTTACTTGCTTTCTTTGTTCTGTTCTGTTGGATGGCCGAACAGAAAATCCAGATCATTTCTGTTTCTGTCCAGATTTCATTTTGGTCTAGCTTTTAATCTGTTTTTGCCCACTTTGGTTAGTGGGTTCGTGTTTTTGGATGGATCAACCCGACCCAATCCAATAAAAAAAAAACTAAAAAGGTTAAAAAGTAAAAAAATCAAAAGTTATCTCTTTTATTTCAATTTCGCACAAACTTTTCATGTTTAAGCACTTTAGTCCAAAAGTTTTAAACTTTTTCAAGTCGGTCCTCTATTTTTATTTTAATCAAATCAGTCCCTTTAATTTTTACTTGTGTTCATTGTGCATGCATGTCTTTGATTTCGTCCATTTTAGTCCAAAATGTTAAAAATGTTGCAATTTGGTTATCTCTTTTTTCAAGCTTGTTTATTAAG